TGTGTGTGTGTGTGTGTGTGTACAGTGTTCATGTGTTGCTAGTGGTACATGGTGGTTTTGTGGATATGCCATGTGGAGGGGTGTGTGTGTGTGTGTGTGTGTGTGTGTGTGTGTGTACAGTGTTCATGTGTTGCTAGTGGTACATGGTGGTTTTGTGGATATGCCAGTGGGTGCATTTGGCAACTTGAACAAGATTTCTAGTCTTTCTTTACATCAATGTGGAAGAGACGGCTTGGAAGGTGGCTCAGGAGTAGAGTGCTTGCCTTGCATGCATGAGGCCCTGGGTTTGATTCCTCAGCACCACATAAGCAGAAAAAGCCGGAAGTGGTGCTGTGGCTCAAGTAGTAGGGCACTACTCTTGAGCTGAAGAGCCCAAGGACAGTGCCTAGGCCTAGAGTTCAGGCCCCACCACCGACCAAAAAAAAAAAATGTGGAAGAAATCCTTATATCTTTGAGGAAACTAGCAAATATACTTAAGAAGAGAAAAAACAGACATTTTTAATGATAAAGGACAAACAAATTTCAAAATTAAGTTTTTGAGAGAAAGTCTGAGCTGAAATCCGACATTCTAATACTCTTGTTCCTGTCAGAGATCAGTAATCTGAATAGGGAGGTGATTCATTCTGGTGGATGAAATATTTTGTTATGAACTAATATCTCCTCCTGGGAGCCTCTTTAAAAAATCATCCTTGCCTGTACCTGGAAAGGTAAGGTTTTGATGAGTGAATGAGTTGTATGGACTTTACACTCTAGAAGTAAGAACAAGGTCTGATTCCTCCCAACCTAGAGCTCAGATCTACACCCTGCAGGACTTCAGTAACCTGGAAACTCACATTTTATGAAACATGGAAGGGCCTAGGTCTTCAGGAGATCCCCTTTGTTGCAGGCACTGTCACATGGTCTACTCAGTGATCTCTCAGAGGATGCATCATATCCCCAATTATAAATGGGAAATGGGAGCTTCTACTTCACAAATAAAATAATTGAATTAAATCTGAGATTTGAACCTAAGCACTTCTCTCCATCTTTCCTACTCCCTCACTTTGTGGCTGGGGGCTGTTAATGTTGTCACTGAACATGGAAGGGGTATGTGTGTTAGCATATGAGGGATGTGGCAATCATGGAAATAGAACTCTATCCTGTCCTAGGTGAGAGGCACCAGACATGCTAGCCACCACCTTGTACTGCTAGTCTCTACAAAGACACTTGCCCATTACTTCCTGCTACAGGGAAACAATACGACAAGGCTAGTATCACACTAGAGGATGACACATATATGGAGGAATGGAATTTCAGAAAGTTTGTTCTAGTGCTAGGTCCTATAAAGCCTATGGCAGATTAGTTTGTGTTTCTGAATTTAGGTATTAGTAATTTTGTGGTGTGATTTTTCTCACTTCTTGTCTGTTCCTGAAAGAGAAAAACCATGAGGAAAATTAGAAAAATAAAGTACAATCACATAAAAATATCTCAGTGGTTTGAATATTGATATTTACATGGCAAATATGTTTTTCCTCTGTTCATAAGGCACTCAGTGCCCAAGTCTTTCTGATAACAGAGCAATTCTGGTGTGAGTATTCTTTATCTTCATATTTCAAACCATTGTAAAAATGGAATTTTATTTATTCTTTGGATTTATTTTAGTTTTACAGAAATTTATGTTACCCTATATACCTTTGAGAAAAAAAAGTAGCTGTTTCAAGTGATAGAACTTGTTCCTTTTACCTCTAGTTCTTGTGAACCTGAACTATTAGGGTGGAACTTGGCCTCTTACTTCTCATGGTAGCTCATACCAACTGGTGATCCCAGGTACCCATATACCAAATGGTGCCCCTCCAATGAAGAGACTTTTTTTTATATAAGTGTTACAGGCATCTTTCTTTCTAATAAAAGCAAGTAGTGAGGCAGGAAAACATTTACAGAAGCTTGTGAGAGATGAACACTATACATTTTATTTAGTCTTATTGGGGGAGAAGTTTACCAATGTCCTATATATGTAGGATCAATAGAACTTGGAGCCGTAAGAAGACCTGTGGTTATAGTGAATCAAATTAGACATATTAAATGCATTTTCTGAGGCTGGGAAAGCGGTTCAGTGGTGGAAGGCCTGCCTTGCATGCATGAGGCCCTAGATTCAATTCTTTAGTACCACATAAGCAGAAAAAGCTGGAAGTGATGCTGTGGCTCAAGTGGTAGAGTGCTAGCCTTGAGCTGAAGAACTGAGGGACAGTGCCCATGTCCAGAGTTCAGGCCTCACAACCATAAAAAAAAAAAAAAGCATTTTCCCCCTGTGCCTGAGAGGTATTTCCCTTATCATTTGCTAGCTTAAATCCAGCAGTTGTGGAATTGACTTAGTAAAATGAACATTTACTGACATTCAGGAAATGAAATCACATAATTCTTTGGGAATATTACTTAGGCTAGCCCAGCTGTTTTAGTCAGCCTTTTTTTTTTACTGTGACAAAATACCTGAGAGAAATGAACTTGAAGAAAGATTTATTTTAGCTCATGGTTTCAGAGGTTTTAACTTGGCTCTATTGCTTTGGGCCTGAGGTGTAAGGTACAACACAGTGGTAGTAGTAAGTAATGGGAGGGACTGCTAGCCTCCTAGAAACAAGCAAGCTGAAAGAGAAAGAAGCCAAGGACCAGATGTGTCTTTCAAAGGCATGCTCTCAATGACCTCTGTCGTCCAACTAGGCCCCAATTCCTCATAGCTCAGGAAGTTATAAACTCATACATTTGAGTCGGTCAGTCTGCCTATATCTGTCTGTCTGTCTGTCTGTCTCAGTGTGTGTGTCCTAGGGTTGAACTCATGGCCTAGCTACTGCTCTTGAGCTTTTTTTGCTGGCCTCTACCACTTGAGTCACAGCTTCACACGCACGTGTGTGTGTGTGTGTGTGTGTGTGTGTGTGTGTGTGTGTGTGTTTAATTGGAGATAAGTGTTTCATGGATTTCCTTGCCTGGACTAGCTTCCAACTATGATCCTCAGATCTCAGCCTCCTGAGTAGCTAGTATTATGAGTGCAAGCCTATGGTAACTTAACCATTCTTAAATTTTGTGGCTTTGTGGGTTTTTCATTTGCTAATCAAAATGTTGAATTTTCAAGTGGCAGGACAGCTTTGCAAATGAGCCGAGATCTTTCTGTCCAACTTCCCCGGCCTGATCTGAATGTGACGAGAAGTCGAAGCAAGACCTATCCTAAAAGAATAGCACAAACCCAACCAGTTGGTAAGTCACAGTGCCCTGAGTCATTGGTGTAATCTTCTTCTAGTCCTGTGTTGTGTGATATGCTCGATGTTGACTTATGGTCCTATTGTCTTTTAATACTAACACTTAAAATTTGACCTTGAAATATATAAGCAGCTAGTAGTTATCAATGAGTAGATAAGTAGTCACTTGAATCCTTCTGACCTGCTTAATGATTACACTTTGTTTTTGAAGGGGTTTTATTTTAAATCAATTCTCAAATGAGTAATTTCTTAGTTTGGTGACTCTGAGATTGAATTGACATAATCTCTAGCAGAAGTATAAAAAAAGAGCATCACTCTTGACCTAACTTAATTTCTATAGAATTCAGTTGCGTTTTATGTAATTGTGAATCTTCTTTTTACTATGAAATACCATATAGAAAATATACACATAGACATTACATATCTGTGTGTGAGTATATGTACATATATATGCAGACATAACAAGTTTAATTCAATCAGAAACTCTAAAAGTCCCTCATGACCACTTTCCTGATCATATTCTCAATATATCATCACCCCTGTCATGTATTAATATTTTTGCAGTATAATTTTACTGTCTTTCATCTTTCCTTGAGAAAGTTAATTTTGCCTGTTCCTTTTTGCTTGTTTTTCTTTCTGTTTTTGGAGATATTAGGGTTTCAACTCAGGGCCTCATGCTTGCTAAGCAAATGTGAACTATGCCCATAGCCCTTTTCTCCCCAATACTGTATTTTGGGGATAAGGTCTTATAGTTTATTTCTAGCCAGCCTGGACCACAGTCCTCCTATTTTAGGAAGTTCAATGCAGCTGGGATTAGAGATGCATACTATCATGTGCAGCTTATTGGTTGAGATATCACCTCACTAACTTTTTGTTTGTCTGGCAGAGATTCTCCTGATCTCTACCTCTAGAAGAACTGATATTACAGGCATTACTATATCCATTCATATTTTACCTGTTTTGAATGTTATATGAAAATATCATACTATGTACTCTTTGGTGCTTTGATTCTTTTTTAAAATTTAAGTTTATATGTAATGAGTACTAAAGTGCATTCATTTTTCTTGCTTTAAGTACCTAGTGTTTATTTTTTAATTCTACTGTTAGTGGCTATTTTGGGTTACCCATTTATTTTTTGTTTCTAATGTTTATTCCTTTAATAAAGCCACCTTTGCAGTCAGATTTTGCATATGCATACTCAAAGCTCACAGAATTTTATTATAAAGTGATTCTTTCAATTTTTTATATATGTTTATTATAAAAATACTGTACAGAGGGTTACAGTTACATGAGTAAGGTAATGAGTACATTTCCTATTGAGCATTGTTACCTCCTCCTTTGTTTTCCCCCTACCATCCCTTCTCTCCTCACTTCCCCAACTCCCCCCGCCCAAGTTATTTCCTACATAGTGTCTTGTACATCTCATTGTTACAATGGGCCAACCTGTATCCTTGTTTCATCATTTTCTTATTTCCCTTCCCCTTCCCAAATAGAAAAATGTATATACAAGATGCAGGGCACCAACATCAAATACAGGGAAAACAGGAGTTATGCCATGGGGGAAGAACATACAAAAGAACCAAAAAAATCACATAGTACATTATAAATACATTAAAATCAATAGCAAGAAAGATAAAACCACTTGTGTCCCTATCTTGGGATTTATTTCGCTCAGCATCATCTTATATGATCATATGTACATAGCTTTTGACCTTTTCTTCTTGTCCTGGATGTATACTAGTTATTGCAAACAAGGGAAACCACGGGACCTATGTTTCTTTGGGCCTGGCTTACTTAACTTGATATAATTTTTTCCAAGTCTCTCCATTTCCTAACAAATGCAGCAGTGTCATTCTGTCTGATGGAAACATAGAATTCCATTACATATATTACATTTTCTTGATCTTTCATCTACTGAAGGGCATCTGGTTGGTTTCATATCTTAGCTATGGTAAATAATGCTGTGATAAACATAGTTGTGCTGGTAGCTTTAGTATGGTCTTATTTGTGATTGTTTGGGTAAATGTCCAAAAGTGGGATTGCTGGGTCATAGGGGAGTTCTATGTGGAGTCTTTTGAGGAACCAATGCTGTCAAATTTATAGTAAAATCATGGCTTACATATAGGTCACCCTTGTCTACCTCCCCCAGAGCCCTTTCATATATAACATCTTACAGCAACCCTGTGAGGTAGGCCACGGTATACTTTCACAGTCTGCTGGTGAGAAAGACATGGCCTCAGTGGCTGAACAGATGTGGGTACTCTCTGTGTAGAAGCACGAGCCCAGGGTTCCTAGGTCTTTGTGTCATGGTGTGTGAAATGAATGGAATTTTTAATGGCAATAGTGAATAACTGAAAATGAAATTACTGAATGAAAATTGAAAGCTAGGTGCCAGTGGCTCACACCTGTAATCCCAAACTATTCAAGAGTGTGAGATCTGAGGATCACAGTTCCAAAGCCAGCTTGGAGAAGAAAGTAGTTGAGACTCTTTCTTTAAAAAAAACAAACACATTTTCTTTCTTTCTTAATTAATTTTATTTATTTTTTATGTGGTACTAAGGAATCAAACCCAAGGTCTCATGTATGCCAGGCAAGCACTCTACCACTAAGCCACATTCCCAGCCCTACTTGAGGCTCTAATCTCCAATTAACTAACAGAAAAACAAAAGTGGCAATGTGGCTCAAAGTGGTAAAGCACTAGAGCAAAAAGGGGCTAAGGGACAGTGCCTCGGCCCTGAGTTCAAGCCCCATGACTGACCAAAAAATTTTAAAAAGGAAGAAAGGAAGGAAGGAAGTTGACATGGAACTCATTGCTTTGTTTAATCCTCATGCGAAACCTGAGAAGCAAATGTATAAATCTGTTCCACCATTCATAGGTGTGAGAATGTTACCTGTTGTATTATTTCTAGAATCTATTTAATCTGACTGTAGGTTCTCTCATCTCACAAGGCTGGGAAGACACAATTCCTTCTGATGGTTCTGCTATGGCAAAAATGAGAGACTTAAATTTACAAAGATTACCTTGCTATTTCAGTGTTGTTACCTTCTAAGAAAGTAAATTGTAAAGATAATTTGGTCAGGATTACTGAGGAGTAAGTGTATTACACTGATGAACACCTTGTCTGAGTATAAGGACTCAATACACTCAAGCACAGCAAGTTATATGAAAAGGATTTTGGATTTACAGTAAGGTAACAAGGACTAAAGAAGCTAGTTCCCCAAGGCTCAGTAAAGCCAACGATGGAGGCAGACAGAACTCAGGCAGAACTCCCATCTAGTGCTTTAGGCACTTCCTCTCTGCTTCATGATATGGAATCTCCTACATTCTACAGTTATTCTTGACAATTACAGGTCAGAAAGGAAGAACTAAGGCCACCCAGAGAACTTTCCTACAACTATGAAATAAATATGTGTTTTAGACCAAAAATTCTAGTCTTCCAATGTCTAGCCTTAGTATAGTATATTTAGAATAGTATACTTAGTATTTCTTTTTATATAAGCAATCTTAAGTCCCATTTGGATCAACTAAACTGTAGTACAATTAGTAACCAAATTTTCCAGTGTTTCTGAACACCCTGCTTGCCTCATGAAATTAGCCTGAGACCCACTGAAAATACCAAGTGTTCACTTGGTACTTCATTCCATTTGTGGCATAAGAAATCATGCATCCTCTTTGTGCAAACCTGCATAGGTTGTTCTCCCCCCCCCCCTTCATGTCCTGGGGCTTGAACTCAGGGCTGGGCACTATCCCTGAGATTCTTTGGCTCAAGGCTGCTGATCTGCCACTTGCACCACAGCTCTGTTTCTGGCTTTGTTAGTTTATTGGAGATAAAAGTCTCAGGGACTTTCCTGGTGGGTCTCGCTTCACACCTCAATCCTCAGATCTCAGCCTCATGAGTAGCTAAAATTATAGGCATGAGCCACCAGTGTCTATCTTTCTCATGCACTTTTATGAAAATACCTGCAAATACTTGCCTTCAGAATATTTTTTCCCTGTTTATTTCTTGAGAGGCAGGAAAGAGACCTCTTCTTGGAAGCCTAAATGCTTGAAGCCAGATTTAAGGACAAGGCTTTTTGTTTGTTTTTAACCATTGTTTGTTTTTGTTTTTCTGTGACTTATTATGGCTCTAGTCATATAGTTTTCAGAGAACACCCTGAGACAGTATTGAGCTGTCACTTCTGACCAGACCTGCACTGAGGCCAACCTCTGCTCCACATTGGAGCATAAGAAAAGTTCCCCACAGAAAGGTGTGTGGCTTGACCTTATTCACATGCATTCCTCCTCCTTCAGGGTACAGAATCCAAGTAGCTACCTCATGCTGGATGTGTCTTCCCTGAGGACCTTCTTTTAGAAATATGACAAATTATGCTTTTACCATTACAAAATAACTTGCACATTTTTATGAAATTTTAAAAAAACTTAGAATCTTCCTTCTTAAAAATAATTTAATTCTGTATTGATAATAATAAATTATATTGTTACAGCCTTTTAGTTGTTCATATATCTTTTGGGAGAAAAAAAGGGGTATAATATTAATACCCTGTTTTTCTTATTTAATATATCACAGATATGCTGTATATCTTTAAGTCTTCCACAGTACTATATTAATGTTTATATAATATAATGTTTGTATAGATATGTGTATAGATGTGACATAATTTGCTCAGCCATCTTTTAATTCTTGGGTTCTAAAGCTATTCAAATTTTTGAAACTATACAAGTATGACAAGTAAATACCTTTAGAGTATATCACTAAGTATTCATGACTATTCATTGTGTGTGTTTTAAATAGTGCTGAATAGCCATCATTTTCATTCTCTAGGAGGATCAAACACTACTGTGTTTAAAACTAAGACTATTTTTTATTGTATTGATTTTTTATTGTGAAAATACTGTATAGAGGGGCTGCAGTTACATGGGCAAGATAATGAGTACATTTCTTATCAAGCATTGTTGCCTCCTCCTTTGTTTCCCCTTCCCATCCCTTCCCATCTCCT